CCTCCTGAAGTTGACGAGGCTCTGTTGCGCCTTCTTCACCACACTGTCTGCATGGGTGGACCATTTCAGTTTGTCAGTGATGTGTACGCCAAGGAAATTGAAGCTTTCCACCTTCTCCACTGCGGACCCGTTGATGTGGATAGGGGGGTGCTGTTTCCTGAAGTCTACGATCATCTCCTTTGTTTTGTTGACGTCTCGTCATTGTTGGTATTCAAGCCTACTACTGTTGTGTCGTCTGCAAACTTGATGATTGAGTTGGAGGCGTGCTTCGCCACGCAGTCATGGGTGAACAGGGAGTACAGGAGGGGGCTGAGTACACACCCTTGTGGGGCCCCAGTGTTGAGGATCAGCGAAGTAGAGATGTTGTTTCCTACCTTCACCACCTGGGGGCGGCCCTTTCGGAAGTCCAGGACCCAGTTGCACAGGGCGGGGTTCAGACCCAGGGCCTCGAACTTAATGATGAGCTTGAAGGGTACTATGGTATTGAATGCTGAGCTATAGTCAATGAACAGCATTCTTACATAGGTATTCCTCTTGTCCAGATGGGATAGGGCAGTGTGCAGTGTGATGGCGATTGCATCGTCTGTGGATCTATTGGGGTGGTAAGCAAATTGAAGTGGGTCTAGGGTGACAGGTAAGGTAGAGGTGATATGATCCTTGACGAGTCTCTCAAAGCACTTCATGATGACAGAGGTGAGTGCTACGGGGCGATAGTCATTTAGTTCAGTTACCTTTGCTTTCTTGGGTACAGGAACAATGGTGGCAATCTTGACGCATGTGGGAACAGCAGACTGGGAAAGGGAGAGATTGAATACAGTGAGATAAAAAAGTATTTGATCCCCTGCTGGTTTTGTACGTTTGCCCACTGACAATGACATGATCAGTCTATAATTTTAATGGTAGGTTTATTTGAACAGTGAGAGACAGAATAACAACAAAGAAATCCAGAAAAACGCATGTCAAAAATGTTTTCAATTGATTTGCATTTTAATGAGGGAAATAAGTATTTGACCCCCTCTCAATCAGAAAGATTTTTGGCTCCCAGGTGTCTTTTATACAGGTAATGAGCTGAGATGAGGAGCACACTGTTAAAGGGAGTGCTCCTAATTTCAGCTTGTTACCTGCATAAAAGACACCTGTCCACAGAAGCAATCAATCAATCAGATTCCAAACTCTCCACCATGGCCAAGACCAAAGAGCTCTCCAAGGATGTCAGGGACAAGATTGTAGACCTACACAAGGCTGGAATGGGCTACAAGACCATCACCAAGCAGCTTGGTGAGAAGGTGACAACAGTTGGTGCGATTATTCGCAAATGGAAGAAACACAAAAGAACTGTCAAATCTCCCTCGGCCAGGGGCTCCATGCAAGATCTCACCTCGTGGAGTTGCAATGATCCAGTGAAGTTCTTTGAGGGCCGTCGTGGTATCGGCTTGAGGGGGGATATACATGGACGTGACTATAACCGAAGAAAATTATCTTGGGAGATAATACGGTCGGCATTTGATTGTGAGGTATTCTAGGTCGGGTGAACAGAAGGACTTGAGTTCTTGTATGTTGCTACAATTACACCATGAGTCGTTAATCATGAAACACACACCTCCACCCTTCTGCTTCCCGGAGAGATATATATTCCTGTCTGCACGATGAACTGAGAGCCCATCTGGCTGGACCGATTGACAGAATATCCCCAGAGAGCCATGTTTCCGTGAAACAAAGTATGTTACAGGTCTTGATGTCTCTCTGGAAAGAAATCCTTGCCCGGAGCTCGTCGAGCTTGTTAACCAGAGACTGAACATTAGCGAGTAGTATACTTGGAAGCGGTGGGTGGTGTGTGCGCCTCCTAAGTCGAACCAGCAGGCCGCGCCGAGTGCCTCTCCTCCGCCGGCGATGTTTTGGGTCAGCCGCAAGGAATCAGTTAAATTAAATTAACCTGGGGAGAGCAAACAAAGGATCTGCTTCGGGAAAGTCATATTCCTGGTCGTAATGCTGGTGAGTTACCGCCGCTCTGATATCCAATAGTTTTTCCCGGCTGTATGTAATGATACAAAACACATTCTGAGCTAATAATGTAAAAGATAATACATAAAAAAACAAAATACAGCAAAGTTTCCTAAGAGTTAGTCGCGAGGCCGCCATCCTCGTCGGCACCAGGTACACGGTGCCAGGTGTTTATACTTGCGTACGATTGTTTGTACAGATGAACGTGGTCCCCTCAGGCGTTTGGAAATTGCTCCCAAGGATGAACCAGACTAGTGGAGGTCTACATTTTTTTTCTGAGGTCTTGGCTGATTTCTTTTGATTTTCCCATGATGTCAAGCAAAGAGGCACTCAAATGATGTCAATTAGCCTATCAGAAGCTTCTAAAGCCATTACATCATTTTCTGGAAAGGCACAGTCACCTTAGTGTATGTAAACTTCAGACCCACTGGAATTGTGATACAGTGAATTATGAGTGAAATAATCTGTCTGTAAACAATTGTTGGAAAAATTACTTGTGTCATGCACAAAGTAGATGTCCTAACTGACTTGCCAAAACTATAGTTTGTTAACAAGACATTTGTGGAGTGGTTGGAAAACAAGTTTTAATGACTTCAACCTAAGTGTATGTAAACCACTAACTTCAACTGTACATAAGTATTCACATCCCTGAGTCAATACACGTTAGAATCCCCTTTGGCAGCGATTACAGCTGTAAGTCTTTCTGGGTAAGTCTCGAAAAGCTTTGCACACCTGGATTGTACAATATTTGCACATTATTCTTTTGAAAATTCTTCAAGTGCTGTCAAGTTGGTTGTTGATCATTGCTAAACATCCATTTTCAAGTCGTGCCATAGATCTTCAAGCTGATTTAAGTCAAAACTGTAATTAAGCCACTCAGGAACATTCAATGTTGTCTTGGTAAGCAACTACAGTGTATATTTGGCCTTGTGTTTTAGGTTATTGTCCTGCTGAAAGGTGAAATGTTTTCCTCTAAGATTCTGCCTGTGCTTAGCTCTATTCCGTTGCTTTTCATCCTAAAAAACACACTAGTCCTTGCCGATGACAAGCATACACATAACATGAGCAGCCACCACCATGCTTGAAAATATGAAGAGTGGTACTCAGTGATGTGTTGTGTTGGATTTACCCCAAACATAAAGATTTGTATTCAGGACATAAAAGTTCATTTCTTTGCCACATTTTTTGCATCTAAAAACATAATTCCATTTTGACATTATGGGATATTGTGCGTAGGCCAGTGACACAAAATAAAAATACAGAATGTAACAACAAAATGTGGAAAAAGTCAAGGGGTGTGAATACTTTCTGAAGGCACTGTATTTGGACAGTGAAGCAAAATATTATGGGGCTCTTTACTCCAGCATTTTGGATTTTAGATATATTTTCTATTTATCTTACTGTTTAGAAATGAAAGACCTTTATGTATCTAGTCCCCCATTTGAAAAGATATATATTTGGACAAATTCACTTATAGTGTATTAAAAGTAGTCAAAAGTGTAGTATTTGGTCCCATATTCCTTGCACGCAATGACTACATCATGCTTGTGACTCTACAAACTTGTTGGATGCATTTGCAGTTTGTTGTTTTCTTTGGATTATGTTGTACCCAATAGGAACTGAATGGTAAATAATGTTGTGTCATTTTGGAGTCAATTTTATTGTAAGTAAGAATAGCATCCACATTCATGGACATTCCCATAGACTTGCCTGTAACTTGCAAAGAGAGGGGGGTGGAGATCCCACCCTGCTTTCACTCCTCGTTGTAGTATATTTTTTAACACTTTTGTCCCCAGAACTAAATTGAGAATCGGATGCAATTACGCAAGATTTTAGTTCTTGATTTCCAATATTATTATTTTAGAGATATACTATACATTTACATTTTAGTCATTTAGCAGACACTCTTATCCAGAGCGACTTACAGTTAGTGAGTGCATACATTTTTTTTTTTTTCATACTGGCCCCCCGTGGGAAACGAACCCACAACCCTGGCGTTGCAAGCGCCATGCTCTACCAACTGAGCTACACGGGACCTATAGGCTATTTCAGGTGGAATTATTGCATAGAGAACTTTTAACCACAGGTTAAAAGCTCAGTGCAGTCAACATTCAGTGTTTCCTGTGTTTTGTATCATTTTGTCACGCCTACTCCCGCTCCCCCGCTCCAGCGCTCAACGTTGCCGGTCTACTAACCACCGGTCCTGGCAACCATCATTACGCACACCTGCTCCCCCTCATTACGCACACCTCGACCTCATCATCACCTTGATTACGCTCCCTTTATTTAGCCCTCAGTAGCCTCAGTCATCAGGCAGTATTGGTTTTGGCACGTTCAGTAAGCTTCTCCTGTTTTGTTTATCTGCCTTATTCTTATCATTAAACTCACCTTCTGCACCTGCTTCCTGACTCCCAGCGTATACGTTACACATATTGTACAACAGCTGATGAAACTAACACTGTAAAAGTGTGAAAACATTGGATCAGTGTTATTTCCTCATAGTTGCTTCTTGAAAATACAATCTATACAGGAACTTCTAATCAGCAGGTTTGCATCGGCAGGAGTTCTGGCTTTCCATGGTGACATTGTCATGTGGTAAATTGGTTAATAGACCAATAACAAAGAGAGCTCCAAACCTCTCTACCAATAACAGCTAGTTTTCAGTTTTCCCCTCCCCACTCAGACCACTCCCAGACAGTCCTAGCAAAAATAAATGTTTGCCCATTTTAATGGAATACTATTACAGTAAGGTACTTAATTGTTACCCAGAAATGATTTTATATTTATATAAAAACGGCTGCATTGGGCCTTTACGATCTACTTACTGCACCACCGGTCACACTCACCTGAGCTGTGGACATTGTGATTGGGCAACTGTCTGAGGAAGAGAAGACTGTCTGTGGGGCTGTTGCCATGGAGCATGTGTCAATCTCCGACGAGGGGTCGTCAGCGGGCCCCTGGCCCTCCTCTGGCCCCTCCAGGCCCTCAGCCAAAAGACTCTGGGACAGTGCCTCTGAGAAGAAAGGAACGTCCTCCACCTCTGAGAAAACATCAGGCTCTGAGGCGTCTTCCAAGTCGAGGGCCAGGTCTAACTCAGGTGCCACATAAGATTCACCACCAGAGGCACAGTCTTCCCCCATTACCCCCTCCTGTTCATCACCCTCCACCCTGGGCTGCGGCTGCTCAATGTAAGAGTCCTGCTGTAGCTCTGGGAAGAGATCTTCTTCTTCATGCCCCCCGTTGAGCAGCAGGGGGGACCCGGGCACCGGGTAGATGTCGGTGGACCCCGAGCGCTCCTCTTCTTCGTCCGAGTCAATGTGCAGCATGGCACTGAGGCGTGTGTGAGTGGGAAAGCTAGACCGCAGCTTCGGGGAGGCAGCGCCCAGGGGCCTCTCTCCGGGGCCCTTGGGGGCCTCGATGGCATCCAGGCCTTCACTTAGGGACCTCTGCAGCCGTTGAGGGCCAGAGTAGGATTCGCCCTCTGTGGTTCCGCCCTCTGTACCACTGAAGTCCCTGTAGTCTGGGACTGGATAGGCTGTGGCCCCGCCTTCCCAGGACCTCTGTGAGCCCAGAGAGCCAGTAGGGGAGGGGCCTCCAGTGACCACCCCCGGGAGTGGGTGGGGCAGATCCTCGTCATCTGACGGAGTCCCCGGGGCCCCGTTATTGGGCACACCAATGATAGAGTCTGGTGAGGCCCCTGAGCATGAAACAGAGAAAGATCGATCATTTTGTAATACCTTGATTTCTATTACATTACAATTCATCAGTGTGTACTTTCATTAGATATTGTTGTTTACAAACACAATAAATTAAAGGTAATGGTCTTCACCGTCAGGTCCAGTGGATGTGAGCTCCACTTTGAACTGCATTTGGCCACTCACATGCTCAGTGGGCAACCGTCGACACAGAGAGAAGCTCAGAGGCTGGACACTGAGGACAGACAGATGGACGGACATACAAACAACCAAATGCAATCACTCAACTGTAGTGAACACTCAATGATAAAGTACAGTGAACAATCAATAATTATGAACATGGGTCTACTTGAGTGTCAGTAAGAACACGTATGTCTTCGTATGTGCATGCGTCCTTTTGCCATGTTACCTACCCAGGTATCTTCTCAATCAGCCTCTGAACAGGAATGGTCAGCTGACCAAGGAAGCGCTTGATGATTGGTCGACTTTTGGCAAACTTGTCCTTGACCTCGATGTTCAGAATGTCTGTCATCAGTGCTACAAAAGTGTATTTCTACAGAGGGAGGGAGACACAGACTGTTAGAACATGTTTCTATGAGCTGGCTTTTTCACAAAAGATAAAGGTTAGATGGTGCTAAGCTAAGTAAACAACAAGTGAATTGCAGCAATCAGAGTTTCAGGACTAATTTAAGGGTACAGCAACTTAATCAGAAATCTGAAGTTCAGCACCACATGACAGTGGACAGTGACCATCTGAGACGCCAAGCGAGACGCCTAAAGGGAAAGCCTTGCTCGGCTCCCCATTAACTCTATATTTATCTAGACCAGGGATGGGCAACCCCAAAAGGCTAGGGGATGCATGTGTGGGTATGGATGTGGATACGCAGACCCGCCAGCCACTGCAGCCCCTCATGATGAGTTCAGATTTTGTGTCCCCCACCCCCATCAAAAGTTACCAATCCCTGACCTAGTCTCTTCAGCCATATTGATTTCAAACGTCTAACCTTTACAATATTGTAAATAATAGGGAACACATTTGTGTATAATTAAAATACACTTAATACTCAAGTGATTCTTTGAAACTTCATCTATAGTGAGTGAGTGACCTATAGGAGTGGAGGGAGCGTGTGCATGTATGTGCAAGTGTGTGTGTGCACATATGCATGCTTATAGATCACCTCTCTGTGCCACTTAGGGTTGGTGGTGTTGGTGATGATGGCGGAGCGTCTCTCCTGTCCATGGTGGCTGAAGGTGGGGAAGCCGCTCCTCTTCCCAGGGTGGATGGACATCTTCAAGTAGGGATCCGGGTTGAAGAACATTCCCTTCTTCAGCCCCACCGCACGCATATCTACACAGAGGAAGATTATCATCACATCAGGGGATGTATGTATCAATAGTGTCAGAGTAGGAGTGCTGATCCAGGATCAGTGTAGCCTTATAGAGCACAAAAAAATAAGACTACATGGACAGGGGGACCTGATCATATATTCGCACTCCTACTCTGAGACTCTTATACATACAGTACGGCCCCAGGTCCTCCTTCACTGAGCATTGTCTGAGGCTTTGACAAAACAAAATTGGAGGCTAAACTGTCAACCAGAAGATGCTAGTTGGTGGAGATATAGGAGGATGGGCTTTGATACCATTCCATTTATTCCATTCCAGCCATTACAATGAGCCCATCTTCCAATATCTCCACCCAACATCTCCTCTCTGCAAATGCAGTGATGAAGGTTGTGTGAAACCGCAACACATTGGCAGTAGACAATATTTTTACCTTTTTCTTTTTTTTTACTTTGCAAAATGAAGATGCCAAGCCGTTTCAATAATGGCTTTTATCTGCAACTATAATCATACATGTTTAGCCAAATCCAATTTCATGTCAATGTCACAAGCCAGGGAAACCAAAGGGCACCTTACTATATGAACTGCATGTATTGCAATTGGAGAGGGAACAGAATCTTCTGTGTTTTCACTAATTGTCTGAGGTTTATTGCAAAAGGAAGGATGATATACAGTGGGGAAAAAAAGTATTTAGTCAGCCACCAATTGTGCAAGTTCTCCCACTTAAAAAGATGAGAGAGGCCTGTAATTTTCATCATAGGTACACGTCAACTATGACAGACAAAATGAGATTTTTTTCTCCAGAAAATCACATTGTAGGATTTTTTATGAATTTATTTGCAAATTATGGTGGAAAATAAGTATTTGATCACCTACAAACAAGCAAGATTTCTGGCTCTCATAGACCTGTAACTTCTTCTTTAAGAGGCTCCTCTGTCCTCCACTCGTTACCTGTATTAATGGCACCTGTTTGAACTTGTTATCAGTATAAGTATTTGGTCAATAACAAAAGTTTCTCAATACTTTGTTATATACCCTTTGTTGGCAATGACACAGGTCAAACGTTTTCGGTAAGTCTTCACAAGGTTTTCACACACTGTTGCTGGTATTTTGGCCCATTCCTCCATGCAGATCTCCTCTAGAGCAGTGATGTTTTGGGGCTGTCGCTGGGCAACACGGACTTTCAACTCCCTCCAAAGATTTTCTATGGGGTTGAGATCTGGAGACTGGCTAGGCCACTCCAGGACCTTGAAATGCTTCTTACGAAGCCATTCCTTCGTTGCCCGGGCGGTGTGTTTGGGATCATTGTCATGCTGAAAGACCCAGCCACGTTTCATCTTCAATGCCCTTGCTGATGGAAGGACGTTTTCACTCAAAATCTCACGATACAAGGCCCCATTCATTCTTTCCTTTACACGGATCAGTCGTCCTGGTCCCTTTGCAGAAAAACAGCCCCAAAGCATGATGTTTCCACCCCAATGCTTCACAGTAGGTATGGTGTTCTTTGGATGCAACTCAGCATTCTTTGTCCTCCAAACACAACGAGTTGAGTTTTTACCAAAAAGTTATATTTTGGTTTCATCTGACCATATGACATTCTCCCAATCCTCTTCTGGATCATCCAAATGCACTCTAGCAAACTTCAGACGGGCCTGGACATGTACTGGCTTAAGCAGGGGGACACGTCTGGCACTGCAGGATTTGAGTCCCTGGTGGCGTAGTGTGTTACTGATGGTAGGCTTTGTTACTTTGGTCCCAGCTCTCTGCAGGTCATTCACTAGGTCCCCCCGTGTGGTTCTGGGATTTTTGCTCACCATTCTTGTGATCATTTTGACCCCACGGGGTGAGATCTTGCGTAGAGCCCCAGATCGAGGGAGATTATCAGTGGTCTTGTATGTCTTCCATTTCCTAATAATTGCTCCCACAGTTAATTTCTTCAAACCAAGCTGCTTACCTATTGCAGATTTAGTCTTCCCAGACTGGTGCAGGTCTACAATTTTGTTTCTGGTGTCCATTGACAGCTCTTTGGTCTTGGCCATAGTGGAGTTTGGAGTGTGACTGTTTGAGGTTGTGGACAGGTGTCTTTTATACTGATAACAAGCTCAAACAGGTGCCATTAATATAGGTAACGAGTGGAGGACAGAGGAGCCTCTTAAAGAAGAAGTTACAGGTCTGTGAGAGCCAGAAATATTGCTTGTTTGTAGGTGACCAAATACTTATTTTCCACCATAATTTGCAAATAAATTCATTAAAAATCCTACAATGTGATTTTCTGGATTTTTTTTCTCAATTTGTCTGTCATAGTTGACGTGTACCTATGATGAAAACTATAGGCCTCTCTCATCTTTTTAAGTGGGAGAACTTGCACAATTGGTGGCTGACTAAATATTTTTTTCCCCCACTGTATATAGATATATATACAGTACCAGTCAAAAGTTTGGAGACACCTACTCATTTGAGGGTTTTTCTTTATTTTTACTATTTTCTACATTGTAGAATAATAGTGAAGATATCAAAACTATGAAAAAAGACATATGGATTCATGTCGTAACTGGTAGTCACCTGAAATGTTTTTCCAACAGTCTTGAAGGAGTTCCCACATATGCTGAGCACTTGTTGGCTGCTTTTCCTTCACTCTGTGGTCCAACTCATCCCAAACCATCTCAATTGGGTTAAGGTCGGGGGATTGAGGAGGCCAGGTCATCTGATGCAGCACTCCATCACTCTCCTTCTTGGTATAATAGCCCTTACATAGCCTAGAGGTGTGTTGGGTCATTGTCCTGTTGAAAAACAAATGATAGTCCCACTAAGCCCAAACCAGATGGGATGGTGTATCACTGCAGAATGCTGTGGTAGCCATGCTGGTTAAGTGTGCCTTGAATTCTAAATAAATCACAGACAGTGTCACCAGCAAAGCACCCCCACACCATAACACCTCCTCCTCCATGCTTTACGGTGGGAACTACACATGCGGAGATCATCCGTTCACCCATACCGCGTCTCACAAAGACACAGCGGACCAAAAGGCCACATTTCCACCGGTCTAATGTCCATTGCTTGTGTTTCTTGGCCCAAGCAGGTCTCTTCTTCTTATTGGTGTCCTTTAGTAGTGGCTTCTTTACAGCAATTCAACCATGAAGGCCTGATTCACGCAGTCTCCTCTGAACAGTTGATGTTGAGATGTGTCTGTTACTTGAACTCTGTGAAGCATTTATTTGGGCTGCAATTTCTGAGGCTGGTAACTCTAATGAACTTATCCTCTGCAGCAGAGGTAACTCTGGGTTTTCCACTCCTGTGGCGGTCCTCATGAGAGCCAGTTTCCTTATAGCGCTTGATGGTTTTTGCGACAGCACTTGAAGAAACTTTCAAGTGTTCTTGACATTTTCCATATTGACTGACCATGTCTTAAAGTAATGATGGACTGTCGTTTCTCTTTGCTTATTTGAGCTGTTCTTGCCATAATATGGACTTGGTCTTTTACCAAATAGGGCTATCTTCTGTATACCCCCCCCCCTACCGCATTAAGAAGGAAATAAATTCCACAAATTAACTTTAACAAGGCACACCTGTTCATTGAAATGCATTCCAGGTGACTACCTCATGAAGCTGGTTGAGAGAATGCCAAGAGTGAGCAAAGCTGTCATCAAGGCAAAGGGTGGCTATTTGAAGAATCTCAAATATAAAATATATTTTGATTTGTTTAACACTTTTTTGGTTACTACATGATTCCATATGTGTTATTTCATAGTTCTGATGTCTTCACTATTATTCTACAATGTAGAATGAGTAGGTGTGTCCTACTTTTGAAATAGAAATCAGTTCGTTAATTTTGAGGCCAGTTGGAGGAAACTTCAGTCAATGATAGAGGCAGACTGTAAAGCTGCCTGCATGTAAGATGTGAGGTACATTGCCATTCACGTTAGGACACTTAGGGTCAGATCTTGTGAGCATTTGCACCAATGCAAAGTTAGAACCTCTTATTTTCAAGTGGGAATAAGACATGTAAGGAGGAATAAAAAGGTTGAATAAAGTGGTAGCAGATTAGATTAATATGTTTAATCAAGTTTAATCTTATTGATTAATAAGATTAATCAATAAGGGAAACCCTGACAAAAGCAGTTTGCTGCCAAAACGTTGACAATCTTCTACTAAATCATTTGAATTGGAACTATAGAGTGTACACCTTTTCTAAGACAGAGTCAATGAGGACATTTACCTGGTTTTAGCCAAACCACACCTCACCTGTTAAAGTAAAGCTGATTAGTTTGCGAGGATGATCTGTGGATGACTTCCCCTCACTTTGACCTTCTCCCTGAGAGACGCAGAGAAGTTGTATATTTTAACATTGACATTTTAGTCATTTAGCAGATGCTCTTATCCAGAGCGACTTACAGTTAGTGAGTGCATACATTTTCATACTGGCCCCCCGTGGGAAACGAACCCACAACCCTGGCGTTGCAAGCGCCATGCTCTACCAACTGAGCTACACAGACACACACACCATGCATGCACACAGACAGACATACACACACACCAGGACTCCAGGGTTCTTCACAGTGATGCAGGGGGTGGTTGCTCTCAGGGCTCCACTGACACCATGGTAGTACTTGAAGCAGATCTTGGTCTCAGCTAGAGGGAAATAGAAAGATTGTTGATATGAACACAACTTCTATTTTTCTCTCTTCACCAACTCTTTGGCTAGCTGAATCTCAATTGTGAGACGTGACTTCTAATCTTCCTTGTTAAGAGGGAAGTATGTACAGAGTAATGCAAAAATCTTGCTCACAATTACTTGTATTTACATGTATTACAGAATTAACAATTCAATTTAAAGTAGTGTACTATATAATTGCAGTGCAATTACCTTCCCAGTAGAATAATGGCCCTATGTGCCCTGCTCAAAAGTAGTGCACTACATAAGGAATAGGGTGCCATTTGGATCAAAACCTGTTTATTATTAAGCGTTGCCTCTCCCCCTTTCTTAATCTCATCCCATTGGACCGCACTTATTGCTCAAAGACCCTTTGAAACTTCATTTCCACATCATACTTGATCATATTGATGCTTTCTTTCTTTCCTTCACTCCCTCCTTCCCTTCCTTTCCTCTCCTCTCGTCTTCTCTCCTCCCACTCACCGTCCATGAAGTAAGGCCCAGGCTCCAGCCTCCAGACGATCTGGCCCCTCTGTGTCCCATTCACCCCACGATTCTTACAGTCCCACACATTAGACGGGCTGGTCTCATCTGAGCCGGCCGGGGAACAAAGAAGCTTCGTCAGTCCACTCAGTTTGTGTGTGGTTCTAAATGAGTGTGTGTGCATGTGTGTGTGCGTGTGTGTTGTGGTCTATAAAGACGTGACAGTGACTGACAAAATGTTTGATTATTGTACAACCTTGAAAATGGTTGACCCCAATGAAAACTAATGTTATGGTCAGATGTTTACTGAACAGCACATATCTACGCTCCACATTGCAGCCTTATCACAACTCTTGTTCCATGTATAATGTCTGTTTTGCCCCATACCATAACCTCAACAGATACTTCAAACTCAGACAATTATCCTTTAATTCGTAAATGTAGTGCCTAAAATACATTCTCTACAACCTCTAACACAAAGGACAAGAAATTGAAACCTCCCACAGTGTTAAAACCGAGGGAATTCCCCTGTACGTAGCACTTTCACCCCCTTATAGTGAACGACCACTTCAGGCTGAACTAAACAAGCACGAAGCAGCATGATGTGGGGGAAAAGATGAGGAGGGGGGGGGGGGGGGGGGTGATATCATTGAATGTCTGCTTAGTTGTGGAAAGTGGGAAAGCATGCAGCACCCCAGGGGGATTAAGACCCTGACGCTGGTAATGAAGTGCATGATGGCCTCGTGATCGATAGCTAAAGGGATCCCTGCATGGATTGCTTTCTCTGCTTTCTCCCTCCTCTCATATTTTCACCTGACAGGGATGATTGGGATCCCTCTTCCTTAAAGGAGGAAGGGGGGAAATCCAGACAGGTCAAGGGGCGGGTGGATAGAGGATTCAGAAGCTTCTTGGAGGTTGACTGACTCGTCCCACAGCCAATTATTATATTGGTAAACTGGTAAATGAGTATTAGAGAGGACTGTTAGACAAGCCTAATGCGATTGCATATAGTTTGTGTTAGATAAATACTATTGAGTTTGTTGCCTGAATGTATTTAGTGGGTATGCATTCTCGTATAGAACCAAATTGGTTATACTGTAGGTATGCTAAATGGCATATTATTATTATTAAAACAATATGTGGCTCATTATATGAATTAATATGAAAAAGTTGTTGGAGAAGTTGTTTTTAGCCTAAGTAGCCTTATACAGTGTGCCACTTAATATATACTGAACAAAAATATTAATGCAACATGCAACAATTTCAAAGATATTACTGAGTTACAGTTCATATGAGGAAATCTGTCAAATTAAATGAATTCATTAGGCCCTAATCTATGGATTTCACATGACTGGGAATACAGATATGCATCTGTTGCTCACAGATGGGCCTCAGGATCTTTTCCAGGTATTTCTGGTATTTATGCCATCGATAAAATGCAATTGTGTTCGTTGTCCATAGCTGATGACTGCCCATACCATAACCTCACCGCCACCATGAGGCACTCTGTTCACAACGCTGAAGTCAGCAAACCGCTAACCCACACGACGTCATACACTTGGTCAGCGGTTGTGAGGCCAGTTGGATGTACTGACAAATTCTCTAAAACAACGGAGGCGGCTTATGGTAGAGAAATGAACATTCAATTCTCTGGCAACAGCTCTGGTGGACATTACTGCAGTCAGCATGCCAATTGCATGCTCCCTCAAAACTTAAGACATCTGTGGCATTGTGTTGTGTGATAAAACTGCACATTTTAGAGTGGCCTTTTATTGTCCCCAGCACAAGATGCACCTGTGTAATGATCATGCTGTTTAATCAGCTTCTTGATATGCCACACCTGTCAGGTGGATGGATTATCTTGGCAAAGGAGAAATGCTCACTAACAGGGATGTAAACACATTTTAGTGCATATGGAACATTTCTGGGATCTTTTATTTCAGCTCATGAAACATGAAACACAACATGTTGCGTTTATATTTTTGTTCAGTGTAGTTTACAATCAAAATCCTGACCCTAAGCAGGGCATTAATACAGTGCATTCAGAATTATTCAGACCCCTTGACTTTTTCCACATTTCGTTACGTTACAGCCTTATTCCAAAATGGATTAAATTGTTTTTTTCTCCCTCATCAATCTAGACGCAATATCCCATAATGACAAAGTAAGAACCGTTTTTTAGAAATGTTTGCAAATGTATAATTCTTTAAAAACAGATATACCTTATTTAAGAATTCAGACCCATTGCTGTGAGAATCGAAATTGAGCTCAGGTGCATCCTGTTTCCATTGATCATTCTTGAGATGTTTCTACAACTTGATTGGAGTCAACCTGTGGTAAAATAAATTGATTGGACATGATTGGGAAAGGCACACACCAGTCTACATAAGGTCCCACAGTTGACAGTGAATGTCAGAGCGAAAAACCAAGCCATGAGGTCGAAGGAATTGTCCATAAAGCTCAGAGACAGGATTGTGTCGAGGCACAGATCTGGGGAAAGGTACCAAAAAAAATCTGCAGCATTGAAGGTCCCCAAGAACACAGTGGCCTCCATCATTCTTAAATGGAAGAAGTTTGGAACCACCAAGACTCTTCCTAGAGCTTGGTCAGGGAAGTGACCAAGGACCTCAGACTGAGGCGAAGGTTCACCTTCCAACAGGACAACGACCCAAAGCACACAGCCAAGACAACACAGGAGTGGCTTCGGGACAAGTCTCAGAATGTTCTTGAGTGGCCCAGCCAGAGCCCGTCTTGAACCCGATCAAACATCTCTGAAGAGACCTGGAAATAGCTGTGCAGCGACGCTCCCCATCCAACCTGACAGAGCTTGAGAGGAGCTTGAGTCAGAAGTTTACATACACCTTAGCTAAATACATTTAAACTCAGTTTTTCACAATCCCTGACATTTAATGCTAGTAAAAATTCCTTGTCTTAGGTCAGTTAGGATCACCACTTTATTTTAAGAATGTGAAATGTCAGAATAATAGTAGAGAGAATGATTTATTTCAGCTTTTATTTCTTTCATCACATTCCCAGTGGGTCAGAAGTTTACATACATTCAATTAGTATTTGGTAGGATTGCCTTTAAATTGTTTAACTTAGATCAAACGTTTCAGGTAGCCTTCCACAAGCTTCCCACAATAAGTTGGGTGAAATTTTGGCCCATTACTCCTGACAGAGCTGGTGTAACTGAGTCAGGTTTGTAGGCCTCCTTGCTCGCACATGCTTTTTCAGATCTGCCCACAAATGTTCTATAGGATTGAGGTCAGGACTTTGTGATGGCCACTCCAATACCTTGACTTTGTTGTCCTTAAGCCATTTTGCCACAACTTTGGAAGTATGCTTGGGGTCATTTTCCATTTGGAAGACCCATTTGCGACCAAGCTTTAACTTCCTGACTGATGTCTTGAGATGTTGCTTCAATATATCCACATAATTTTCCTTTCTCATGATGCCATCTATTTTGTGAAGTGCACCAGGCCCTCCTGCAGCAAAGCACCCCCACAGCATGATGCTACAACCCCCGTGCTTCACGGTTGGGATGGTGTTCTTTGACTTGCAAGCGTCCCCCTTTTTCCTCCAAACATAATGATGGTCATTATGGCCAAACAGTTCTATTTTTGTTTCATCAGACCAGAGGACATTGCTCCAAAAAGTACAATATTTGTCCCCATGTGCAGTTGCAAACCGTAGTCTTGCTTTCTTATGGCGGTTTTGGAGCAGTGGCTTCTTCCTTGCCGAGCGGCCTTTCAGGTCATGACGATATAGGACTTGTTTTACTGTGGATATAGATTATTTTGTACCTGTTTCCTCCAGCATCTTCACAAGGTCCTTTGCTGTTGTTCTGGGATTGATTTGCACTTTTCGCACCAAAGTACGTTCATCTCAGCTGGTAGAGCACGGCGCTTGTAACGCCAAGGTAGTGGGTTCGATCCCCGGGACCACCCATACACAAAAAAAAAAAAGTATGCACGCATGACTGTAAGTCGCTTTGGATAAAAGCGTCTGCTAAATGGCATATTAAAATTAATTAAATTAAAGAACGCGTCTCCTTACTAAGCGGTATGACGGCTGCGTGGTCCCATGGTGTTTATACTTGCGTACTATTGTTTGTACAGATGAACGTGGTACCTTCAGGCGTTTGGAAATTGCTCCCAAGGATGAACAAGACTTGTGGAGGTCTCTAATGTTTTTTCTGAGGCCTTGGTTGATTTCTTTTGATTTTCCCATGATGTCAAGCAAAGAGGCACTGAGTTTGAAGGTAGGCCTTGAAATACAGTGGGGAGAACAAGTATTTGATACACTGCCGATTTTGCAGGTTTTCCTACTTACAAAGCATGTAGAGGTCTGTAATTTTTATCATAGGTACACTTCAACTGTGATGGACGGAATCTAAAACAAAAATCCAGAAAATCACATTGTATGATTTTTAAGTAATTAATTTGCATTTAATTGCATGACATAAGTATTTGATCACCTACCAAGCAGTAAGAATTCCGGCTCTCACAGACCTGTTAGTTTTTCTTTAAAAAGCCCTCCTGTTCTCCACTCATTACCTGTATTAACTGCACCTGTTTGAACTCGTTACCTGTATAAAAGACACCTGTCCACACACTCAATCAAACAGACTCCAACCTCTCCACAATGGCCAAGACTAGAGAGCTGTGTAAGGACATCAGGGATAAAATTGTAGACCTGCACAAGGCTGGGATGGGCTACAGGACAATAGGCAAGCAGCTTGGTGAGAAGGCAACAACTGTTGGCGCAATTATTAGAAAATGGAAGAAGTTCAAGATGACGGTCAAAGGGGACAGGACGACTGCACCGTATTGAGGGGAGGATGGATGGGGCCATGTATCGCGAAATCTTCCCTCAGTAAGAGCATTGAAGATGGGTCTTCCAGCATGACAACAACCCGAAACACACAGCCAGGGCAACTAAGGAGTGACTCCGTAAGAAGCATCTCAAGGTCCTGGAGTGGCCTAGCCAGTCTCCAGACCTGAACCTAATAGAAAATCTTTGGAGGGAGCTGAAAGTCCGTATTTCCCAGCGACAGCCCCGAAACCTGAAGGATCTGGAGAAGGTCTGTATGGAGGAGTGGGTCAAAATCCCTGCTGCAGTGTGTGCAAACCTGGTCAAGACCTACAGGAAACATATGATCTCTGTAATTGCAAAAAAAGGTTTCTGTACCAAATATGAAGTTCTGCTTTTCTAATGTATCAAATACTTATGTCATGCAATAAAATGCAAATTAATTACTTAAAAATCATACAATGTGATTTTCTGGACTTTTGTTTTAGATTCCGTCTCTCACAGTTGAAGTGTACCTATGATAAAAATTACAGACCTCTACATGCTTTGTATGTAGGAAAACTGCAAAATCGGCAGTGTATCAAATACTTGTTCTGCCCACTGTACATCCAAAGGTACACCTCCAATTGACTCAAATGTTGTCAATTATCCTATCAGAAACTTCTAAAGCCATGACATCCTTTTCTGGAATTTTTCAAGCTGTTTAAAGGCACAGTCAACTTAGTGTATGTAAACTTCTGACCCACTGGAATTGTGGTAAAGTGAATTAAGTGAAAAAAATCTGTCTGTAAACAATTGTTGGAAAGATTACTTGTGTCATGCACAAAGTAGATGTCCTAACCTACTTGCCAAAACTATAGTTTGTTAACAAGAAATGTGTGGAGTGGTTGAAAACGAGTTTTAATGACTCCATGTAAACTTCCAACTTCATCTGTATGTATGTATATACAGTGAGGGAAAAAAAGTATTTGATCCCCTGCTGATTTTGTACGTTTGCCCACTGACAAAGACATGATCAGTCTATACTTTTAATGGTAGGTTTATTTGAACAGCGAGAAATAGAATAACAACAAACAAATCCAGAAAAACGCATGTCAAAAATGTTATAAATTGATTTGCATTTTAATGAGGGAAATAAGTATTTGACCCCTCTGCAAAACATGACTTAGTACTTGGTGGCAAAACCCTTGTTGGCAATCACAGAGGTCAGACGTTTCTTATAGTTGGCCACCAGGTTTACACAGATCTCAGGAGGGATTTTGTCCCACTCCTCTTTGCAGATCCTTCAGCTCCCTCCACAGATTTTCTATGGGATTAAGGTCTGGAGACTGGCTAGGCCACTCCAGGACCTTAATGTGCTGCTTCTTGAGCCACTCCTTTGTTGCCTTGGCCGTGTGTTTTGGGTCATTGTCATGCTGGAATACCCATCCACGACCCATTTTCAATGCCCTGGCTGAGGGAAGGAGGTTCTCACCCAATATTTGACAGTACATGGCCCCGTCCATTGTCCCTTTGATGCAGTGAAGTTGTCCTGTCCCCTTAGCAGAAAAACACCCCCAAAGCATAATGTTTCCACCTCCATGTTTGACAGTGGGGATGGTGTTCTTGGGGTCATAGGCAGCATTCCTCCTCCTCCAAACACGGCGAGTTGAGTTGATGCCAAAGAACTCGATTTTGGTCTCATCTGACCACAACACTTTCACCCAGTTCTCCTCTGAATCATTCAGATGTTCATTGGCAAACTTCAGACGGGCCTGTATATGTGCTTTCTTGAGCAGGGGGACCTTGCGGGCGCTGCAGGATTTCAGTCCTTCACGGCGTAGTGTGTTACCAATTGTTTTCTTGGTGACTATGTTCCCAGCTGCCTTGAGATCATTGACAAGATCCTCCCGTGTAGTTCTGGGCTGATTCCTCACCGTTCTCATGATCATTGCAACTCCACGAGGTGAGATCTTGCATGGAGCCCCAGGCCGAGGGAGATTTACAGTTATTTTGTGTTTCTTCCATTTGCGAATAATCGCACCAACTGTTGTCACCTTCTCACCAAGCTGCTTGGCGATGGTCTTGAAGCCCATTCCAGCCTTGTGTAGGTCTACAATCTTGTCCCTGACATCCTTGGAGAGCTCTTTGGTCTTGGCCATGGTGGAGAGTTTGGAATCTGATTGATTGATTGCTTCTGTGGACAGGTGTCTTTTATGCAGGTAACAAACTGAGATTAGGAGCACTCCCTTTAAGAGTATGCTCCTAATCTCAGCTCGTTACCTGTATAAAAGACACCTGGGAGCCAGAAATCTTAAAACGCAAATCAATTTATAAAAATGTTTACATGCGTTCTTCTGCATTTTTTTGTTGTAATTCTGTCCCTCACTGTTCAAATAAACCTACCATTAAAATGATAGACTGATCCTTTCTTTGTCAGTGGGCAAACGTACAAAATCAGCAGGGGATCAAATACTTTTTTCCCCTCACTGTGTATATACAGTGGGGGAAAAAAGTATTTAGTCAGCCACCAATTGTGCAAGTTCTCCCACTTAAAAAGATGAGAGAGGCCTGTCATTTTCATCATAGGTACACGTCAACTATGAGAGACAAATAGAGAAGAAAAAAACCAGAAAATCACATTGTAGGATTTTTTATGAATTTATTTGCAAATTATGGTGGCAAATAAGTATTTGGTCACCTACAAACAAGCAAGATTTCTGGCTCTCACAGACCTGTAACTTCTTCTTTAAGAGGCTCCTCTGTCCTCCACTCGTTACCTGTATTAATGGCACCTGTTTGAACTTGTTATCAGTATAAAAGACACCTGTCCACAACCTCAAACAGTCACACTCCAAACTCCACTATGGCCAAGACCAAAGAGCTGTCAAAGGACACCAGAAACAAAATTGTAGACCTGCACCAGGCTGGGAAGACTGAATCTGCAATAGGTAAGCAGCTTGGTTTGAAGAAATCAACTGTGGGAGCAATTATTAGGAAATGGAAGACATACAAGACCACTGATAATCTCCCTCGATCTGGGGCTCCACGCAAGATCTCACACCGTGGGGTCAAAATGATCACAAGAACGGTGAGCAAAAATCCCAGAACCACACAGGGGGACCTAGTGAATGACCTGCAGAGAGCTGGGACCAAAGTAACAAAGCCTACCATCAGTAACACACTACGCCGCCAGGGACTCAAATCCTGCAGTGCCAGACGTATCCCCCTGCTTAAGCCAGTACATGTCCAGGCCCGTCTGAAGTTTGCTAGAGTGCATTTGGATGATCCAGAAGAGGATTGGGAGAATGTCATATGGTCAGATGATACCAAAATATAACTTTTTGGTAAAAACTCAACTCGTCGTGTTTGGAGGACAAAGAATGCTGAGTTGCATCCAGAGAACACCATACCTACTGTGAAGCATGGGGGTGGAAACATCATGCTTTGGGGCTGTTTTTCTCCAAAGGGACCAGGACGACTGATCCGTGTAAAGGAAAGAATGAATGGGGCCATGTATCATGAGATTTTGAATGAAAACCTCCTTCCATCAGCAAGGGCATTGAAGATGAAACGTGGCTGGGTCTTTCAGCATGACAATGATCCCAAACACACCGCCCGGGCAACGAAGGAGTGGCTTCGTAAGAAGCATTTCAAGGTCCTGGAGTGGCCTAGCCAGTCTCCAGATCTCAACCCCATAGAAAATCTTTGGAGGGAGTTGAAAGTGCGTGTTGCCCAGTGACAGTCCCAAAACATCACTGCTCTAGAGGAGATCTGCATGGAGGAATGGGCCAAAATACCAGCAACAGTGTGTGAAAACCTTGTGAAGACTTACAGAAAACGTTTGACCTGTGTCATTGCCAACAAAGGGTATATAACAAAGTATTGACCAATTGTTATTGACCAAATACTTATTTTCCACCATCATTTGCAAATAAATTCATTAAAAATCCTACAATGTGATTTTCCTGGATTTTTTCCCTCATTTTGTCTGTCATAGTTGACGTGTACCTATGATGAAAATGACAGGCCTCTCTCATCTTTTTAAGTGGGAGAACTTGCACAATTGGTGGCTGACTAAATACTTTTTTCCCCACTGTGTGTGTGTGTGTGTGTGTGTGTATATATACATACACACACACACACACATTTATAAAAAAAAAAAATATATATACACATTTGTAAAAATGTCTAAAAACCTGTTTTTGCTTTGTCATATTTTGGAGTATTGTGTGTAGATTGATGAGGGGGGGGGGGGGGGGGGGGGGACTTTTATCAATTTTACAATAAGGCTGTAACATAACAAAATGTGGAAAAAGTCAAGGGGTCTGAATACTTTCTGAATGCACTGTATTGGAGACCACCCAGGATAGTCTAGGTGTATATATACAGTACCAGTCAAAAGTTTGGACACACCTACTCATTCAAGGGTTTTTCTTTATTTTTACTATTATCTACAGTGTAGAATAATAGTGAAGATATCAAAACTATGAAATAACACATATGGAATCATGTAGTAACCAAAAAAGTGTTAAACAAATCCAAATATATTTTATATTTGAGATTCTTCAAAGTAGCAACACTTTGCCTTGATGACAGCTTTGCACACTCTTGGCAATCTCTCAACCAGCTTCACCTGGAATGCTTTTCCAACAGTCTTGAAGGAGTTCCCACATATGCTTAGCACTTGTTGGCTGCTTTTCCTTCACTCTGCGGTCCATCTCATCCCAAACCATCTCAATTAAGTTAAGGTCGGGGGATTGTGGAGGCCAGGTCATCTGATGCAGCACTCCATCACTATCCTTCTTGGTCAAATGGCCCTTACACAGCCTGGAGGTGTGTTGGGTCATTGTCCTGTTGATAAACAAATGAGAGTCCCACTCTTCCCAAACCAGATGGGATGGTGTATCTCTGCAGAATGCTGTGGTAGCCATGCTGGTTAAGTGTGCCTTAAATTCTAAATAAATCACTGACAGTGTCACCAGCAAAGCACCCCCACACCATCACACCTCCTCCTCCATGCTTCACGGTGGGAACCACACATGCGGAGATCATCCGTTCACCTACTCTGCGTCTCACAGAGACATGGCATATGGACCCAAAAATCTTCAATTCAGACTCATCAGACCAAAGGACAGATTTCCACCGGTCTAATGTCCATTGCTCGTATTTCTTGGCCCAAGCAAGTCTCTTCTTATTATTGGTGTCCTTTAGTAGTGGTTTCTTTGCAGCAATCGACCATGAAGTTCTGATTCATGCAGTCTCCTCTGAACAGTTGATGTTGAGATGTGTCTGTTACTTGAACTCTGTGAAGCATTTATTTGGGCTGCAATTTCTGAGGCTGGTAACTCTAATGAACTTGTCCTCCGCAGCAGAGGTAAATCTGGGTCTTCCTTTCCTGTGGCGGTCCTCATGAGAGCCAGTTTCATTATACTGGCTCCCCGTGGGAAACGAACCCACAACCCTGGCGTTGCAAACGCCATGCTCTATCAACTGAGCTACATCCCTGCCGGCCATTCCCTCCCCTACCCTGGACGACGCTGGGCCAATTGTGCGCCGCCCATGAGTCTCCCGGTCGCGGCCGGCTGCGACAGAGCCTGGATTCGAACCAGGATCTCTAGTGGCACAGTTCGCACTGCGATGCAGTGCCTTAGACCACTGCGCCACTCAGGAGAACTCATGAAGCTGGTTGAGAGAATGTCAAGAGTGTGCAAAGCTGTCATCAAGGCAAAGGGTGGCTATTTGAAGAATCTCAAATATAAAATATATTTTGATTTGTTTAACACTTTTTTGGTTACTACATGATTCCATATGTTTTTTTTCATAGTTTTGATGTCTTCACTACTATTCTACAATGCAGAAAATAGTAAAAATAAAGAAAAGCCCTGGAATGAGTAGGTGTGTCCAAACTTTTGGCTGGTACTCTATGTGATGGTATTTGTGTGTTATAGAAGTATTTGTGTTGACTCAGTCTTCCCTTCTGTGGAACTTCAACAGCTCCAGTTTCATTTTTTGACTCTGTAGTCTCCTGCACCAGAGACTTGCATTTCTCAACTCTCTACATAACTAGCTAGAATCAGCCAGTCCTACACAACAGCTAGAATCAGTTCAGTCAGATCAGTAGTATTAGTTAAAAAGTTTGCCTTGTCAGTCCAAATCAAAGGAAACACTACTATAATAAAACTAAAATGTGAACATTTCTTTCAACCCTTGATTCAATGCTCTACCAGTAGCTGGATAAGGCTAAATAGTGTTTACCTTGTTCTGGCGGGGTACCCCTGGGTTAGACCATTTTTGTTTACACCTGTACTACCAACTCCTTATTCAACTAATCAAGGGCTATATTAGTTGAGTAGTTGAATAAGGTTGTGTTTGTACTGGACTATAACATAACTGTGTATCCCTGGGGGCAACCAGTACATGTTCTACTTTAAACGTTCCTAGTTACTAACTACCCCATTGTGAAACGAACATGCTGAGTGTCTCACCGATGTGGTAGAGGCCGATCCAGTCGGTGGCATCCACCTCCTCCTTGATGTCCCAGGAGATGACCAGGTTCTCGCCCCTCCCCAGCGTGAACTCCAGCGTGGACGCCGTCAGCGACGAGCGGCTCTGCGACGTCACCAAGTCTGTGTCACTGTTGGCCCTCGGGAGGCCCATGGGGCTGCTCACCACGGAAGCCGTGTACCCGGCAGCGCCGCCACGCTCTGCCAGGCTCCGCAGGTTCTCCGGGCTGAGCGTGTGTCGCAGGTGCGGGCTGCGCCTCCGCGGCGCAGACAGGTGCTCCCGCCCCACATGTCCGGACAATCCGTGTGCATTGTGGGGGTGGGCTGTGTGGGGATGGTTACGGGTCCTTGGAAGGACTGCTGTGGCAAGTGAGGGACGCATGGTGGCTGCAGGGGAAAGGCCAAAGCAGGAAATTTAAAGTTTGGAGATGTAGTTACGGGAGCTCTCAACGGGTTGGTTAGATAACCGGAAACCCTTGGTCTTAGTGATGGGTTACGCTTCAGAGATGTGGTCTACCTCGGCCACTTAATAACTATGGTAGCTTGCTACAGCTTTAGCTTTCAGATGGTGGTGTCAGTAATGTTTCATGTGGAGGCTGCAGAACTTAGCCTTCCATATAAGCTCTGCAGTGTGTTGTACCTAAAGTTCTGACCATTCTCTCTCTGGCCAATGTAAAAATATAATTATTTCTTGAGTGCAGTGAACAATCCAGGAGCAAAGACGGGTGGAAGACACAGCCACCGTTGTCCACTCTGCTACTTCAAATTTACGCTGTCCAACAAGCAAAGATTGAGACAGAGACCTCAAGACTAGGAAAGAGGAGAAGACAACATGGAGAGGAAAATGAAGGACAGAGGCAGACAGACGGGTGACACAAAGAACAAAACACGTCAGTACTCTTACCCGATGCACTGCACGCACAGCAAAAGCAGTGAACACTGGACAAGTCTCAGTGAAATGCAATCACGAGATCCCTGAACAAGCATTTGTCACCACCAGACTGCTATGTGGTGTCAAAGATCCAGTCACCAATGAATGTATAGTACATTGCCAACTAGGCCGAACCATTCTAATTTACACACTGTGATTCTCTCCTTCCTAATCAACCTTCCAAATGAATGAGGAAATGACATCCGGAAAGCTGGGTTTAAGCGAAACTGCTGATTGTTTCACCTCTCCATCTCGATTTAATTTGTGTTTCTTTACGTAATAGTTGTACTGTATGTGTGTCTCCAGTTTTGTGTTAGAGTATGTAAGTTGTTTAGTCTGAAACTTTGTTCCTCCTGCTGCTGTCGGACCAGTTCTCTCTTGAAAAATAGATTTTATCTCAATAAGAAAAACCTGTATAAATAAAAAGGTTAAATAAAAATAATAAATAAAAAATGCATGCAATGGGACAGACAAAGCTAAAACAGGATTTATTGTATTAGAGACATGTTTCCATAACAATAACAATGTCCCACTGTACTGTTTTGAGGACTGAAAGTCCCCCTCTCTCTCACTATGACTCTTTCCCTCTCTCCCTCCATGCTTTGTGGAGTCTGTCAGATTGACTGCCCCAGAAAAGGGAAGCGGAGATCCAGCAGAGAAAGGCAGCTGTAACTGCCTCCCTGGAAGCTCTTAAAATCAGCAAAGGTGTCTGGGGGATATCAGGGGGAGGACTTTCTGATTGGCTGTCAGATTCTGAACCACAACTGTATAGAATGAAAAGGGGGACATGTGACTTTAGGATCCAGTGGGAGCTTATTTTAGATGTGCTGAGCAACAACCAAGGCTTTTTGGAAGATTAGGTATAATTTGAGCTAATGCTAGCACCAGTCATTTCTGATTTGGGCTGATCTATGCTGGGCTCGTCTCATCGTCTGTTCAGCACTATTATAACCGACTAAGCTGTTGTGGGTGCTTGCGGACCATTACACAGTACTGTAGCTCCTTGGTAAATTGAGGAGGTGATCTCTGATGAACCAACATACACTACATGACCAAAAGTATGTGGACACCTGCTCATCGAACATCTCATTCCAAAATCATGGGCATTAACATGGAGTTGGTCCCCCCTTTGCTTCTATAACAGCCTCCACTCTTCTGGGAAGGCTTTCCACTAGATGTTGAAGCATTGCTGCAGGGACTTGCTTCCATTCAGCCACAAGAGCATTAGTGAGGTCGTGCACTGTGCACTTTGTGTACGGGGGCATTGTCATACTGAAACAGGAAAGGGCCTTCCCCAAACTGTTGGAAGTTGGAAGCACAGAATCGTCTATAATGTCATTGCATGCTGTAGCGTTATGATTTCCCTTCACTGGAACTAAGGGGCCTAGCCCGACCCATGAAAAACAGCCCCAGACCAGTATTCCTCCTCCACCAAACTTTACAGTTGGCACTATGCATTGGGGCAGGTAGCATTCTCCTGGCATTCGCCAAACCCATATTCGTCCGTCGAACTGCCAGATGGTGAAGTGTGATTCATCCCTCCAGAGAACGCGTTTCCACCGCTCCAGATTCCAATGGCGCCGAGCTTTACACTACTTCAGCAGACGCTTAGCATTGTGCATGGTGATCTTAAGGCTTGTGTGCCGTTGTTGCTCCAGGGCAGCTCTAGCAGGGCAGAAATTTGACAAACTGACTTGTTGGAAAGGTGGCATGCCACGTTGAAAGTCACTGAGCTCTTCCGTAAGGCCATTCTACTGCCAATATTTGTCTATGGAGATTCAATGGTTGTGTGCTCAATTTTACACACCTGTCAACAACGGGTGTGGCTGAAATAGCCAAATCCACTAATTTGAAGAGGTGTCCACATACTTTTGTATATATAGTGCATGTTTGTTGAAATGTGGGTGGGTCCGACTGTTGCAGATGGTCTGACTCTGGCTTTATATGTATGAACTGACTGGAGATACTTAAGGGGTGTGTCTAGCTGGCAGACTCAGCGATGCACAAGGTAGACTCAGCGATGCACAAAGTAAACAAGTGTCAGGCCATGGTCCACAACAACTAAGCGCTTGAAGCACAAAGTTTAACTTTTCTTCTGTTCTTGTCCCGCAGCTATGTTGTGATGTGAGTTAATGGTCACTAGACTTGATGCTGAATGTTATGGATTGCTCTCATATCTGTTAATAGAGATTGATGCCAGAGCAAGTTACTATGGTCCAAGTACAAGGACTGAGGATACACTGATTATTTACTGTTGTATTGATGACATTCTGTGGACAATGTTTGATGATTGATCACTGATGATCGTCTGACTACTGTGTCTGCTCTGTTACAGTACTGTTTTCAGTAGTAGATGATGTTTATAACTCTGTAGCAGGAGACAAAGATCACTACCTTATTTGGGTTTCCTTCAAACCCCTAGGGCTAATGTTGACAGAACAGTTTCCCGTCTGATTCGGAAATAAGGGCCAGTTCAGAGAATGCCAGCAAGACTTTTCCTCTGCTTCTGTGTTGGGTGGTGTCTCCCTGCTGCAACTTGTAAGAACCGGATAGATTTTTGATTGACTTTACTGCTCTCCTTTTTGTTCATCTGGAAACTCCTGTAACAGAAGTGTACTTGTGCACATGCGCAGATACTTTGTATGAGTGCAATGTCTTGCATCGTGCACATCTGCAATATCATCAGTTCATCTGCTGCCCGAGGCAACATCATATCACTGAATCTCAGTTTAATAGTGATCTGTAATCCTGTAACGATCTATGTTGCTCAGTGTGATAGTACATGAGATGAGAGATCCTCGTCGTGTGTGTGTGAGGATTGCCTGTGCGTCCAGACTGATGCTGAAACTGGAGAAAGGGATGCCTGCATGGATGTGCCTGAGTCAACAAGACTATACAACTGGGGAACACACACGCATGCAGGCACAAACAGATATGTACACAGCTACATGTGCGCGCACACACACACACACACACTTGTGGGAGAAGGAGCATTTTAAGTAAACAAGCATTATACAGTCGAGAGAGAGAAAAGTCTGTACACTTGAATGGTAGTTATGTAACTGTTCTTGAGGTCAGTCCTCAAATTCCTTCTATGTCTGTATGCCATTGTTTACACTAATTTGATTGGGAGAGGTCTGGGTTATGTCTGTCTCACTGAGCCAACGGGATAAGGAGTCTGTTCACTGCCTCTATTCACAGTACAGGGGCATTGACCTGAAAATGCATCCTTCCTTCCCTTGAAATAAATACTGATCTTACATGACTGGTTAGGTGAACGCTAGGCTTCTGCTACACCGCTTTAATGTGAGATCTGTGATTGATTTACATCTAGGAAAGAAAGAAGGAAGCAAGTATTCATTTTCAAAGAAGCAAAACAAGGCCATGGTAGCCATTTATGTTTCGGACAAAAAAATTGCAGGTTCCAAAAGTTGGTAAAAAAACAAACAGATGCTCTTCTGTATTGGGACCCACAGAATCTATCTGGTGCTTTGAGATTCTGGTTATAACTGCATGAAACAGTGTATTATTAGGCCTATAAATAAATAATCAGTTCCATTTTGAGCTTGTTGGGCACCAGGCTTATGGTAAAGCCATAGAATTATATTGTTGGGCAGGCATACCATAGAGCTATTCTGTTGGGCACAAATACTGGTTGAATAAACGTTGCTTCCACATCATAAAAAATAAAATCTATATTGAACAAAAATATAAGGAAATCAGTAAATTGTAATAAATTCATTAGGCCCTAATCTATGGATTTCACGACTGGGCAGGGGCGCAGCCATGGGTGGGAACCAGGCCCACCTATTGTTGAACAAGGCCCAGACAATCAGAATGAGTGCTTCCCCACAAAAGGCATTTATTACACACAGAAATACTCCTCAGTTTCATCAGCTGTCCGTGTTGCTAGTCTCAGACGATCCCACAGGTGAAGAAGCTGGATGTGGATGTCCTGGGCTGGAGTGGTTACATGTGGTCTGCGGTTGTGAGGCCAGTGTGACGTATTGCCAAATTCTCTAAAACGATGTTGGAGGTGGCTTATGGTAGCATGCCAATTGCACGCTCCCTCGAAACATCTGTGGCATTGTGTTTTGTGACAAAACTGCACATTTTAGAGTGGCCTTTTGTCCCCAGCACAAGGTGCACCTGTGTAATGATCATGCCGTTTAATTAGCTTCTTGATATGCCACACCTGTCAGGTGGATGGATTATCTTGGCAAAGGAGAAATGCTCACTAACAGGGATGTAAACAAATTTGTGCAAACATTGAGAAATAATATTTTTGTGCGTATCGAACAATTCTGGGATCCTTTATTTCAGTTAATAAAAACAACACTTTACATGTTGCATTTATATTTCTGTTCAGTAAGTATGTGTGTGTATATATATATATATATATATATATATATATATATATATATATACACACACACACACACACATACAGTGAGGG